ACATATACATATAGTTGCTACCACTGTCATTCAAAGACACACTCTCTTTTAATCCATTTAAATGGGGCTGGCAAGTATCTTTCAAGTTTGACATTCTTATGGTCTGGGATAAAAGGCATAGCTAGAAGACTCAAGCAACATTTTTTAGGATTTGGACAAATTTGTCCCACAGGCTAATACCAGTGTGGTGTGATGGGTCACTTTTATATGGCCTTTCTAGCCATGGTCTTGTAACTCCCACCAAAATATTAGGTGGGACTATGCAAATAAGGTGCTCGTGGCCCACCAAAGGGATTGGACAACTTGCTAATAATACAAATAAAGTGCATGGCACCCTTGTGAGGGTGGGACCATGCAAATAAGGTATATGGAACCCTAACAAGGGGGATTGGTCAGTTTTGCCATCCTGCCAGGCTTAAAATGAGCCATCCCAGGGGTGGAAAGTGGGGACCTCACTACCACCAAGAAAGAAGAGCCAGGAGTGGAGTGCATCCTTTGGACCCAGGGTTCCTGTGCTGAGAATCTCCTAGACCCAGGAGGCAGAGAGCTGTAACACTGAAGACAGAGCAAGACGGCGAGAAGCAGCAGCAAACGCGTCAGAGAATCAGCAGAAGCAGAACCAAGAGACTGGCAGGAGATGGCGAGGTGGGCTTCCCAGCTCACGGAGCGAGACAGCTGAGCGCCTTCGGGCAAAAGACTTGCTGGCAGAGTGGGGTGCCTCTGGGCACTTATTGGCAGAGCTAAAGAGCTTTGTAACACTTGCCCGAGCAGGACAGATGCCGGGCCAAGGGGCTGAGAGCCAGAGAGAAGGCTACCTGCAGGCAGAAAAGAGGCTGTCCTGATCAAAGAACTGTATCCTGAGTTGTTTCTGATCCTGAATTGTAACCTGTTACTTCCCTAATAAACCCCATAACTGTAAGTATGGTCTATGAGTTCTGTGTGGCCATTGCAACAAATTATCAAACCCAGCAGAGAAGTAGAGAGTGCCGTGGGAGGGACAGCTGGTGTCAGAAATGGTAAAAAGGTTGGAGGGTGGCAGTATGTCAGACCTCCATCTCAAAGGAATCAGCCTTGGGCTGTTGATCTTGATTCTCCTTCCCTTGTGAAGTTAGAGGAGGTCAGACGCCCCTGCCTCGCCATTTTTACAAATAGGGTCTGCACATCACTTCTTGGATGAACAGATAAAGACTTGTATACGGTTGCAGTTCCATTCCCCCGTGTTTTACACATCATCTCAAGAATCCTTAAAGGAAATGCTTGCTCTTTAGTGCCAACCATTTTTGTCATAAATAACAAATGGTTCTAATAATACCATCAGTTAATTGTGTTTTAATTTTCAGTGCTCTTTTAATGAACCAGTCTGTTGTAAGCACTTTGCAATTAGATACACTCATTATTTCAAGCTTCCATTTTTCTTTCTATGTTAAGACTCCAGATTGAACCATTTTTGATGGATGGAGTCATGTCAATGACAAACCTGAATCTTTGAAGAAATATGAATTAACATAGTTCTAATATTTTTAGTCTTTGGGTAAAATGGTATTACTAACGTCTCTTAATGATTAAGAATCAAATTATTGAAATTAAGACATCATACATATAGTTAAGGTTTTTCTTTGTTATCACTAATTGCTGGGTCCTTATCTGATTTGGAAAAAAAAAACTAGAGAATGGACTGGAGTCCTGTTTTCCCTATTCTTAGCCTCCAGCTGTCCAGAGTGCTTTTTGAGGAAGAAAAAAGCTTTCCCCTTCTTCTGGCCCTTGCCTGCTTTTGTTTGGATTTAGTCTGTGGTGCAGAGGCCTCTGCCAGCAGAGCCATCCCTGGGGTGCCCACTGTCTCACTTGGCAGTGTCTTGACCAGGCCATGCTTTGACTCCCATCTCTTCATACAAAGAGCCTTCAAACAAGAATGTGACGCACAGGGAAGGAAGCATAAAGTCCTATTCCATTCAGGTCGTAGAGTCGTGATGTGCACAAAAGGCAGTGTACTCTCCTCTCCCGGAAGCAGCAATTCCCCGTTGCCTGTCCAGCTCCTGCCTGGCTGCGGAATGTGCATATATCCTAACTACATAGAACATGATCTCTATAAATATCAAACAACCAGATTAGAGATTCAGGGCCCATCGGGTCTTCAGACCTTGAAGAGTAGGCACCTCTTCTACCCTGTCTCCCTATTCCTATCCTCCTTGGACCCAAGGCAACGTCCAAAGCAGATGAAAACAGGCTTTTCTCCTCTGATGACTCTAATTAATATCCTAAGTCCCAATTCTAGCGATACCTTGCATAAGTTATATATCACCTTTTTTTTTCTCAACGAGCATAAAGTGCTTAATGAACATTGGTTCATGCTCTTCCACATCCTTCCAGATTAGCAGGAGCTAGTGGAATCCCCGTTAAAGGGAAACATGACTGACTGCCTATGCTTTGGGCCACAACTGTTTCGGCAGGTTGGTTTGGTTGGGGTAGAGATGGGGTTTTTCGCTGTACCTCACTCTTTTTATTCCATCCATCCTAGTTTTGGTACAGAGAAAACCCTCCCCGAGACTGCATTGCCACGCTCTTCAGTCCTTTTATAAGTAACTTGTACAAAATGGGATGATACAAAAAAATTGAGTTAAGTGTCTTGACCATACATTAATACTCTAAATAGAATCTGACACTTAAAAAAATGCGGCTTTGCGCCCAGCAGTAGATAACCCTAACAGACCAAACTCGTTCCAGATAGCCTACTGTGAGCAATGTGCTGAGTGTAAGGCCATCATGGCAAGGAGCCAAGAGAGCTGTGTTTATCTTGAGTTCCCAGTGTATCTTGTTCAAGGACTCAGCAGTACAGGCCAACCTCAGTGCTAGAAATCAAAAACTTGCCACGTGTGGGAATGGGCAGAGAACCAGTCCCACAGGTAACGTTTTCAAATTTGCTTTGCAGTTCCAAAGAATATGTCTGTCCCTGTCTTCCCTCCCGGAATCCAGAAAATGTTCTCTCATCCCTCTGTTCCACTGAAGTGGCATTGTTGAGAGCCTTCTCCCGTGCCCTTCCTGTGTGGTGCATCCCAGATTCTTTCTGGTGCCTTCTCTTTTCTCTTCTGCAGCTCCTTAATTTTTCCCTTTCCCCTCTTACATGCTTATGCCTGCTGGAGGTCCCAGAGAGTTTGCTTAGACCAGCTAGTGATCCCTGCAGCTAAAGGGCTGGGTGTCCCCTGGTTCTAGAGCTTCAGGGGCTACCAGGGGCATCCACGCTGCATGGATGTATTTCCTGGATCATCCAAAGTCCTCCGTGCCCTGAGGTCTCAGAGGCTGGTACAGGCAGTCACTGGGCTTAGAAAGGATTTCTGTTAACACATTGCATAATGTGCAGATTTAGCAGTAATGCTCTTCACTTGTCACTATTTCTCTATTTATCTGGGGTTACATTCTTGTTAGTCAAAGCAAAAAGAAAGCACTATTAAAAATCACAAAAAAGCAGCTGGCTTTTCCTGTGGAAAGATAACAGTGTAAACTTATATATGCATAATACTGTCAAAAGCTAGTTTTCTGGGGCTATAAATACACATGTGCTTCTAGACACAGGCTTTGTGCCCCACTTTAGACAGGTGGGGTGGAGTACAAGACCACTGAGTTGTAGTCTGGGGGAGGAGAGCAGCATGAAATCTTCCTTTCCAGCTCTGCATTGTCATATGTAAATCTGCGGCTGCCTTTGCTGGCGTGCCCACAGCTGGGGTGGCAGAAACCAGGCCTGGTGATGTCGGCAAGCCCCGACTCCTTACTTTTACTGGTCACTCTTAAGCTAGAAAGAAAGAAAGTCAAATGTAAACATCGGTTTCTTGAAAACAAACACAAGTCCACTATTTCTTATGTTCGTGCCCGTCCCAAAGTGAATGGTTACTGAACCTCATCTCCGGTCATACTTTCCTTGTCCTCAGGCTGCACACTAAATCTAAACCAAACCCAACCTGTTGCTGTCGAGTCGATTCCAATGCAGCTACCCTAGAGAACAGAGTAGAACTGTCCTATAGGTTTTTCCAAGACTGTAATCTTCTCTTGCGGAGCTGCTGGTGGGTTTGAACCGCTGACCCCTCATTTGGCAGCTGAGTGCTGTAACTACTGCACCACCAGGGCTCCTTTAAGCTGCACACTACCTCTCTAAGATCAGTTTGGTGTCACTGGGCAGGAAGGTGCATGCTTCTGGCTGGAGTGTGGCGTGTGTGATTAGACAATCAAATTCATGATTCTAAGTAGAAGAGAACTCAAAAGATTTGGTACAGCTCTCCCCTACCCAGGGGTCATTTAGCTTCTGTGGTAGGCTGGAAAATGGCCCAAGCAAATCCACGCCAAATCCTGGAACCTGTGAGTACTACCTTACATGGCAAATGATGTGATTAAGTCAAGGCTTTTGACAGGAGGAGCCTGTCCTGGGTTACGTGGGTTGGCCCTAAATGCAACCACACCTAAGAGAGGCAGAGGGAGTTTTGAGACAGACACACACAGGAGGAGGCAATGTGACCACGGAGGCAGAGACTGGAGTGATGCAGCCACAAGCCAAGGAACACCTAGAGCCACGAGAAGCTGGGAGAGGCAAGGAAAGGATCCTAGAGCCTTCAGAGAGAGTGTGGCCCTGCTGACACCGTGATTTCGGACTTCCTGGCCGCCAGAACTGGGGGAGAGACCTTTCTGTTGTAGGCCACCAAGTTTGTGCAGCCTCAGGAAAGTGATACACAAAAGTTAGAACGGTGGCTCCCCATCATGCCGTGTTCTCGAAGAGAAAGCTTGTAAGTCATGGGACTACATATCACCATGGAGGCGCAGGGGTGGAGAAACTTGCTTCTGGGTTCTATCTGTTACATCCAGCCTGAGACAAATATAAGAGGAAGGAAAGCTGCTCCTGTCCTTTCTTATTTGTTTGAAAGTTGTTTTTATTTTAAACAGGAGGTGGGATGAGAGGGAGAGAACCTAACAGGGTCACCATATTAAGTAGATTGGTTCTGGACTAGCATGTCATGGGATTGGTCCGTGTTTTATATTTTTAGTGTCAGAGTGGAAGATGCGAGTTTATATTTATGACCTTCCTTTTTCACAAAGATCTAGGTGGAAGTGGCCGTGCATTTTCTGAACTGTTCCGAAATACGAAGTAAAAGAGCATGTTATCCAGCTCTCTCCCTATGCACTCATTCCTCCTCGGGTGTCCTCATCTGCTGTGACCCAGCTCTGGTACCATCATTATCCTTATGTTAAAAGAAAACACACATGCAGATGTTTGCCTGGAAATGTCCTTGTCCTTCCAGTTTACTTGTGGTGATGAACTGTGCTAACTATAGTAAAACCTGCGGAAGCCAGAACTTGGGTAAGGTGGAAACTGTCAGAGAAGGAAAACTCAAATATTTTCCACTAATACAGAATGATAGAAAAATGGTAAGAAAAATGGTAATGCCTTCTGTCGAAGGCAGAAAACTTCCGAGACCCAGAAAAACATGGCAGTCTGGTCAGTTCCGGCTCTCACAGGTTTCAGTGTGTATCGTTTGAAGGTATTTGCTGCCATCTTTGATTTAGATCAGGGATCTGCAGACTACAGCCTTTGGGCTAGCTGCTTGTTTCTTTTTTTTTTTTTTTTAATGACAGCTTTATTGGGATATAATCTACAAACCATACAATTCACCTATTTAAAGTGTACAAGTCAACAATTTTTAGGATATTCACAAAGTTGTGCAACCATCACCACCATCAATTCTGGAACATTTTAACACCACCCAAAATCCACACCCATTAGTAGTCACTCTCCTCCCCTACCAGCCTCAGGTAACCACTTAGCTACTTTCTGTTTCCATTCTGGACACTTCATAGAAATAAGAAACTTAACAGTATGTGGTCTTCAGTGACTGGCTGCTTTCTCTTAGCGTAATGTTTTCTAGGCTCATCCATGTTGTAGCTTGTATCAGGTTTCAAACTTTTTATTAAAGAATAATACTTCATTTTATGGGTATACCACATCTGGTTTATCCATTTATCTGAACATTTGGGTTGTTTCTATTTTTTGCCTATTATAAATAATGCTGCTATGAATATTTGTTTGCAAGTTTTTGTGTGGACATAAGTTTTCAGTTCTCTTGGGTAGATACCCAGGAGTGGAATTGCTGGGTCATATGGTAAGGAGCTCTGGTGGCAAAGTAGTTAAGCGCTTGGTTAACAAAAAGGTCAGCAGTTCAAACCCACCAGCCACTCCACAGGAGAAAGATGTGGCAGTCTACTTCCATAAAGATTGCAGCCTTGGAATCCTATGGGCAGTTCTACTCTGTTCTATAGAGTTGGAGAGTCGCTATGAGTTGGAATCGACTCGACAGCAACGGGTGTTTTTTTGGATGGTAACTCTATATTTAACATTTTGAGGAACTGCCAGGCTATTTTCCAAAGCAGCTGTACCATTTTACATTCTCACCAGCACTGTGGGAGAGTTCTAGTTACTCCACAGCCTAGCCAACATTTGTTATTGTCTGACTTTTTTGATTATAACCATCCTAACGGGTCACTATGAGCTGGAATCGACTAGACAGCAACGAGTCTGGCTTTCGGTTTTAGTGGGTGTGAAGTGGTATCTCATTGCGGTTTCTATCTGCATCTCCCTGAGGACTAATGATGCTGAGTAGCTTTTCACACATGTGCCCATTGGCTGTAGCCACCTGTTTTTGTAAGCAAAGTTTACTGGAACACAGCCAGGCCTGCTTGCTTCTGTCTTGTCCAGGGCTGCTTTTGCACGGCCATGGCAGACATGAGGAGTTGCAGCAGAAACTATGGCACACAAGCCCAAAATATTTACTGTCTGTCCCTTTTAGAAAAGTCTGCTGACACCTGATTTAGATAAAAGAGGAGCAGGTTCTGCCTTTGGGTGACAAAGGGGCGGGCATTTGGACCAGGAAAGGAAGCCATGGCTGGCAGGCCAGACTTGACAGCCAGCACTATTCCTGGGTGGACGCTAGCACGGGGAGGCTGAAGTTGATGCGCAGGGCCTGTGGAGCGTAAAACAAGGACAGTTCATTCTGACAGCAGCTGCAGACGGCCACAGTATCGAAAGCCAAACCTGCCGCGGTCGAGTCGATTCCGACTCATAGAGACCCTATACGACAGAGGAGAACTGCCCCACAGAGTTTCCAAGGAGCAGCTGTTGGATTCAAACTGCTGACCTTTTGGTTAGCAGCCACAGCTCTTAACCACTGTGCCACCAGGGCTCCACAGTATTGAGGGAGGAGCTAATTGAGCAAGCCAGGGGCTTCTGGAGAAATCGTCAAGTGCGGAAAACATCCCAGGATCAAACAGGAAGCAGAGAAACATTAATTTGAAAGGCTGGTTTCTTAGGGTGGCATGTCTTAGTCCAGCAAAACAGCAGGGTGAGCCTTCTTGTACAAACTGCCCCGCCCAGCGCATAATAATGGGGGCATATCCTCTCCCCACCCCCAGAAGAAAGTCTTCATATGATTTTTGCCACCTCTTACACTTTTCACAGATGTGCAAATCAGGCTGTTTTCAACTGAGGCCATGGCTTCACGTGCTCAGGGCTTCCAACCTGTTCATTCCCTGCTGAGAATTTGCATTTCTAACAAGTTCCCAGGAAATTACACTAAGAATCACTGGGGGATCTTGTTAAAATGTAGATTCTGACTCAGTATATCTGGAGTGGAAATGCAAATTCTCGGCACAGAACTTACTAGGAATGCAAATTCTCAGCAGGGGTTCGAATCGGAAGGAACTGGTTGGAAGCCCTGGTTTGGATTTCCCGTCTTTGCTGTAATTTTGTGGAGGTTTTCTTCTCTTAAACTCCAAGCCTTCCTTACCAGGAAGGGTCCCATTTTATGCCCTCTTTCTTTTCCCTTCTGGAAAAGAAAAAGTGCTTTTCTGAAATTCCCGAGCACTGTAGTTCTGGTGGAAAGCAAAGGAGGGCAAGTAGCCCTCAAGTGGCTGCCATGACACCATCTTTTCTGACATCTTCCTTCACACACCCTGTCAACTGATCAGAGAAAAGACACCCGCTTCCTTACTCAATCTTCAGGGAGGCCTTGGGCTTGCTCTCAGTCCAGGTGAAGCGCTTCAGCACTGGGGAGACCAGCAGAGTGCTACCGTCCACCTGGTAATCCTGGCAGGAGAGAAAAAAGACGTTACACTTCCTGCCTGGCCCACTCACCCACCACTCATTGCTGTGGAACAATCCCCACTCATAGCAACCCTACAGGACAGACCAGAACTGTCCCATAGGGTTTCCAAGGCTGTAATCTTTATGGAAGCAGACTGCTGCATCTTTCTCTTGTGGAGCGGCTGGTGGGTTCAAACTGCTGACGTTTTGATTAGCTGCAGAGCACTGTACCACTGCACCACCTTCTGCCTGGCCACACCAAATCACTGGGCTGCACATCTGGAATCCCTGCACTTGCTGCCCTCACCCTCCACAATCTCTGCCTACGGAGACACAGCCTTTTCTCCACATTCACAACCCCAGACTTTGTCAGTTGCAAGAAATGCCTGTACCCAGTGACTTTTAGGCCCTTCTTCCTGAAGGTAAAGAAAGCTAATTTTCCTTAGTTTAAATAAGGAAGAAAATTGTAGGTAACAGGTTAGCATTTTCCATAGTACACTTTTATGCAAATTACTGCATAAAAATATTAAAACTAACTTTGGCAGATGAAGATTGCCCATGGGTATGCTAAGTGATTTAGTGGCTGTGATGTGCAAAAATTCTAAGAAATTATAAAGACCTCATTTAATTTTTTTTTCTTTGTAGAATCTATAGACTTTTCAGGCCCTCTGTGGTCATGGTTTCCAGCACTTAGTTTTCTGCATTGATTCATCTGTAGCATCGAGTTTTATGCAGACTCCCCATTACTCTGTTCAGACGGCATGTTCCAGTCAGTGGATTCCACACTTTGTTCCTGCCACCCTCTGGGTTCCTCCTGGGCTGGGCTCCTGTCCTTAATACCACTAACCAAGCCTGAGCAAGGAAAGCAACTATCATGTTTCACCACCGCATCAGGATGGCAAGTGTTAAGGTGGAGGGAAGTTGTCCACCTTTTCAGCATCGTTTCGGCTGGTGGGTTCGAACCACTGACCTTTTGGTTGGCAGCCGAGTGCCACCAGGGCTCCTTAACAACTAGCAAAACCAAATTTCCAGCTGTTTTACCTTTGTGTTTTGCAGCTCATTTGTAATGTTATTAAAATATTTTAAAGCATCTTGTCCTCTTTGCTGTTTTTGAGAAGGTTGCAGTGTTTTTGAAGGTGGCTCTGCTTTGGCTCCAGGCCACACCCTGTACAGTGACTGCCTTCACACTTCAGTTGGGTTTTCAGGCCCTTTATAGGACACGGTCATCGCCAGTGCTTCGCAAACCTTAATGTGCAAGCCAGTCACCTGGGGATCTCTTCAAAATGATTCAGGAAGCCTGGCGTGGTGCCTGGGAGCCTGCATTTCTGAAAGCTCCTGGATTGTGGCAGCACAGCTTATCCAGAGATCACACTATTTTTTTTCTATTTTATTGAATATAGATGATAAAGCTTATAGAGAATAACATGTGGCATAAATTATATTTCTATTGGTGCTGATCTAGGCAATGGCAATAAAACAAGTAAGGGTATAAAATGTTCCCAATTGGTTGAATGCTAGCAAGGTAGCAAAGAGAAAACCTAGTGGGAATTTTTTTTTTTTTTTAATGGTCAAGTACACAGTACTCAGAAATGGTGTTCTAAAATCCTTGGTAATGACCACAGAGATCACACTTGTAGTACCAGGGTCTACGAGACCAGAGGTACACTCTTGCCAGTCCCCCTTCCCTGCCCTGTCCTCCTGACCCCATGTCCCAGGGCCTGGAAGAACAGAGCTGGGTGAGGCCTCTTGTTTGCCAGGATCTACTTGGATTGTTTCTCCCAGTGTGGCTGGCTAGGAGTATGGCTGTTCAGCCTCCAGAACCTCAAGGGGTGGGAACATAAGACATAAGTAAAATGATTCCAAACTCTCAAGGCTGCTCCTAAGAGGCAGCTCTCCATGACATCACAAGGCCCAGCCAGTCACATAGTTTGGAGTCGTCTCTGTACAACTCTGAAAGCAATGATGCAACAGTGACCCCCAAGATAATGACGTTTCCTAAGGGAAGAAATTACTGCCAGGCAATGAGTTGGACCCTGGAGCAAACTCTGGGTCTTCCACCCGTGGAATTCGACTTTCAAATTGGCTCTGCACAGCTAAGCCTCATTGTCAGTCTCCCTAGGACTGTCATTTCAGCCACCTCTAATCCCTATTGACCTGGAGCCACCCGAAGTCTGGAGTCTGTGTTTGGACAAAGTCTGGCAAAGGGTTCTGCAGGGTGCAGTGAGCAGGTTAGCTTCATTACTTACATCAAGGATGGAGATGCCATTTGGTGAAAATTCTTCAAAGGTTTTGATTCTTTCCACGCTCATGAATTTGAAAGCATTTACGTATCTATGAAGAAGTAGAAAGAATAATCAGGGCAGGATAATGCTTTGTCCGGCTTTGATGAGTCAAGAGACCATGGACACTGTATGCTGGTTAAGATAAACCAGACTGCCAGCAGGAATTGCCTAACTCCTTCTGAGACTGAAATTCTCTTGTGGTGTTCCTCTGGGAATCCTAATGGTAATGCCACCTTCTACCATGATGTCAAGTCCAGAGGGACCCTTGGGAAACTCTGTAGTGGTTAGGCCTCTGGTCCCTCGCGGAATCAGAGAAACAGGCCTAGTAGAGAACTGAGGCATCATTTGGTCTAAACACCCTATGTTACAAGGAACAGAAGTGATATGACTTCTATCATTTATGGCTGCCTACTTTCTAAAAGGGTATGAAATGACGAATGAAATAACCAGTCAACCTGATTTAATTGCATAGCTGAGTACTAGGGCCTGTCTTGTATATTCAGTTCTGTGATTACAGATTAGGAGAAATGGGTAGCATTTGTGTAATTTCCCTATAAATACCTCCTGACCTTCTGTTGATGATGTATTGGGAAGGACCATTAGCGATATCCGTTATATAATCAATGGTTGAGGTTCTCTATTGATTGAGGTTCTCTACCACCCTCTGCAAGGCCCAATTTCTTAGTCAAGCACCCTAGTGTGCCCAAAGCTAAGCAACATACTAGAAGGACCCAAATTTCTTTGACACCTCCAGCCCTCATCTCTGGCCCAATCACAGTCTGCTAATTGATTTAATCCAAACTAGTTTTCTCATTTTAAAAAAATGGGTGACTCATCTGCTTTAGCATACTGGGTTAGTATTGACCGGCATCTATTAAGGCCTTCAAGAAATTCTGCTGGTCAGCCCAGACTTGTGGTAATGGATTACAGGTCGGTAGACGTGCGGTGATGGATTACAGGTCAGTATCAATAGTGTACTGCCCTGTAATCCATTTCCACAAGTCTGGGCTGGCCACAGATTTGTTCTAAGTTTTCACAGATGCCTATCAATATTTTCAGATTACTGCAGCTCTTCCCCATGCCCTCCCTGGCCATGGCTGAACTGAGATCAAAGCCCTAGGATAGTGCCCGCTCTAGCTCAAGATGCGAGAAGGCTCAGAAGACAATCTGAAGGGTTCCTGACTGCATGGGGTACAGGGAAGGAGTGTGAGAACATTTGGGTAAGAAACTCTATTCTGCAACTTTCTAGCCACACAATTTTGGCAAACTATCCTCCTCAAAACCTGAATATCCTACTTGTATAGCAGGAATAATATCTACTTCATAGGCTTGATGTGAGTGTTAAAGGAGCTAATGTATGCAAAGAGGCTAGCACAGTGCCAGAACCACACCAAATGAACACATATGTAACCACTATTACTTAATGTATGAGATACAGAAACCTGGCCCAGCACGGCACTCAGTGTTTATTCCCATGCCCCTTATCCAGTTACCTCTACAGTAATGTGAGATGTGTTAGTTTGTTAGGTAAGGGGTAGAAAGCCAGTTTTTTGTTTGTTTGGTTGGTTGGTTGGTTTTATCTAACATCTCATGAGAAAATCAATGTCATAGAAAAAAAAATGGGGGGATTGTTCTAGAGTAAAATAGACTAAAGAAACATAATAACCAAACGCAATGTGTTAATCTTGATTGGATCGTGCTTTTTTTTAAAAAAAGGTATAAAAGACAATTGGGGGGGAAATTACAATAATTTGAATACTGGATGAGATTAAGGAATTATCATTTGGTATGATAATTTTTGTGTGGTTACACAGAAGGTACTTCTTAGAAGTTGTATTACAAAGTAGGGATAAAGTGTCATGATGTCTGAAACCCTCTTTCAAATGGTTCAGCAAAAAGAAAACACACACACACACACATAGACAAAATAAGGCAAAATGTTAACAATAAGTGAATTTAGGAGGTGAGCATATGAGTATTATAAAATTCTTTCTTTCAATTTTTTGTATATTTGAAAACTTTATAACAGAATATCAGGGAAAGAAACTTTACCTGACATCATCAGAGCTTCCTGAATTAAATTTGGGAGCTGAAACATCTTCCTTGAAGAAGTCCTCAGAGAAGGCAGGAGTTGAGTATGTGAACCCACTACTTCCTGTCAGGATGGTGTTGAGTGGGATATAGTCCTTCCCATCCTAAAACACCAAAGATGGAGGTCTCATGGCACAAAATTTCACATCCACCCATTCCTGTGAAGCATTGTCATCTTTATGCCATTTGCACAATCTTGGTTGTGCTTTGGGACGTGTTAAAAGATATAACCTCTGCATCCATACATACACATGTATTTTTTACCACTGATCTCAGCTCTTCTACCAATGGTGAAACAAAACAAAAACAACAAAAAATGAACAAAACACCTCCTTGACTTAAGAAGGCGTTTGGCCTTCTTATATTCTATACAAATTTAGCTTTACCTGTTGTACATTTGCTTGAAGTAGATCGCCTAGTTTTTCCACAAGTTCTGCAAATCTTGGCCTCTCCTTTGGGTCTTTGTGCCAGCAGTCCAACATGAGCTGATAGCTGTTGAGGAGAAGCACAAGAGAGAGCGCTGGAGAGCTGTCATCATCCTATAGGTGGCCCTACAATGTTGTCATACAAATAATGATTACGGTTTTTGTAGGTTATGATATTTGCCTTTATTTTTAGGTCTGGGTGTGCAGCACCAACACATAAAAGGCTGTTTGGCCCAGGTCCTGCTGCTGGTGGAAAACATCTGTCTACAAAGGTAGAGTAATAAACCCACCTTCCAGAGTCCATTACCACCCAAGGCTTTTGGAGTGCCTTTGGTCTCTGCAAGAGCGGAAGGTCTGAGTTCTAATGTTAACCAAACAGCAATTTGGAAAGGAAACCTCGCTGTTCACGTCCAGATCGTTGATTTGAAGTACTACTCCCCACCCTGTCCTCACTTTCAAAAGCAAGACAATGTCCTTAACGTTTAAAAAGTTAGCATAGCCACAAATATCAATGGGTGAATAGTTCGCAGTACTTATTTAATTCTTGGGTTGTAACAGAGGTTGGCTTGGGGTTCTTTATAAGCACATAGGACTTTGAAGTCCTCACATTCCATTACTGACCTGAGCAGTGGAGATTGGCGGGGAAGGCACTATGTATATGTGACCCATGTAATTTCCAAAAGGTGAAGTTCACGTTGTTGTTGTTGTTGGGTGCTGTCGAGTCGATTTCGACTCAGCAACCCCATAGGACAAGGTAGAACGTCCCCATAGCGTTCCCGAGGCTGTAATCTTCACAGAAGCAGACTGCCACATCTCTCTCCCGTGGAGCGGCTGGTGAGTTCAAACCACCACCAGCCTTTCAGTTAGCAGTCTATCCTATTACGACCTTTCAGTTAGCAGCTTAATCTATTTATGCCCCTACTTTGGTTTCGAAGTATATGAGGTGGCTGATAAATAATAGTAAGAGTACAGGGAGGTTAAAAAAAGAAAGCAAGACTATCAGGAGGCAGGTAAAACAAAGATAAGAAAGGTGAAGCTACAGGCAAACTTAACATGCAAAGTTTATGTCATAATTCTGAGTACTTTGATGGAGGCAGGCTCTGAGCTTCTAGGCAGCTGGTGAAAGGAAGGAGTAATCAATTACATAATAATGCACATAAGCCAGAAGTTACAAACAAACTAGTTACTCAGGTGAAGCATGGCTTTTCCTAGAACTAAAATCTGAAGACAGGCTCTCCTATATGTCTCCTCCCATCCAGTAATGAGTTCATGGGGTTGCTTTATACATTGTCTTTCAATATTGGTAAATGCCTTAACAGCAGAATATATTGTTCAATAAAAACAGTTCTGACCGGCAAAACAATGTGGGCCTGGTGTGTGTCCTGGAGCTCTGGTTTAACCCAAGGATAAAGTTCTAGGTACCCAGGGGAAAAGAAGCCCTGGTGGCACAATGGTTAAAGTGCTCGGCTGCTAACAGAAAAGTCGTCCCTTTGAACCCACCAGCCACTCCATGAGAGAAAAGACCTGGCAATCTGCTCCTATAAAGATTACAGTCTAGGAAACTGATAGGGCGGTTCTACTTGGTCCTCCGGGGTTGCTATGAGTTGGAATCGACTTAACAGCACACAGCAATAACCACCATCACCCAGGGGTATGGTGGCACCTGAGTTCTTCCGATAACCCTCCAAGCATACTGGTCTTCAAAAGCAAGCTTTTCCTGACAGTTGGGCATGGAATTCACATTGCACTTTCTGACAAGTATCCAGCAAGCAGACAGCCTAAGTGTTCGATTAATGGGCAGGAGCTCAAGGATCATATGCCTAAATTGCAGATTCCCCTGCCTTTTCTGAAAACTCTGGGTCAAGACTCTTCTCAGAAGGTGATGCTGGGTTCCCTCCCACGCCTGTGCCTCGTCTGCTGTGCCTATTTTACCTCACTCCAGGGGCAGGGGGGTGGTGGGGAGGTGGCACGGGTCAGCTGGTCCCCAGAGCTGTGAGAGCCCTTTGGAAGGTGTGATTGGGGGGCGGGCAGCGGGAAGGAGTCACTGTATAGGAACCAATTGAGAGAAACTAGGGAGACTGGGAAGAAGAGAAGGAGAATTCTAATTCTCTAACTCTGGGCTGTTGTCCCTGCTGTCTGGGAAACACAGTACGGGGGCCAGAGCTGTGCAAGGCCCCTAACTGTCCCCGCCCAGCAGTGCCTCAGCGTGCCGGCTCTAGGCGCTGCTCCCGAGTGCTGCTGAGTGCTGCCAGGAGCCGCCACTCAGGCAATCGAGGCCAGCCTCCTAGCAGCCAGAGGTCTGCACAATTCTATACAGAACTCATTTTAAGGTAAATTTATACATTTTACTAATGTATTGAGATGGGTGTAAAAATATACACCATAGATGCAGGTGTTCACTAAAGTCTAAGGTCTCTCATACCAAGGTACATTGGCTGTGGTGGAGGTTGGCCAATTTCCACCTTACTATACTCAAGTAAGGGGCCTTGGTGATGCAAGGGTTAAGCACTCAGCTACTAGCCAAAAGGTCAGCAGTTTGAACCCACCAGCTGCTCGGTGGGAGAAAGATACGGCAGTCTGCTTCCATAAAGCTTACAGCCTAGGAAACCCTGTGAGGCAGTTCTACTCTGTCCTATGGGGGCGCTATGAGTCAGAATCGATGGGAATGGGTACTCTCAAGTAGTGCTGTTTCAGTAGTAGAATGCTCGCCTTCCATGCAGGAGACCAGGGTTTAATTCCTGGCCAGTGCACCTCATGCACAGCTACCACCCGTCTGTCGATGCAGGCTTGCATGTTGATATGACACGGAACTGAAGAAAGACCTAGCGATCTACTTCCAAAAATCACAGTGAAAACCCTATGGATCACAACGATCCAATCTGCAACCCACCATGGGGCTGGCACAGGACCAGGCAGCATTTCATTCTGTTGCACATGGGGTTGCCATGAGTCGGGGGCCGACTCCACGGCAGCTCACAACAACCCTAAAGTCTAATCCTCCAAGGCTCCTTTATCTCCAGCAATAAATAGATTCTTGGAGGCTGTTGGAATAAAAACATTAAATATAGAGATAATCTACAGAAAGTAGCCAAAGCAAGAAAGGCCCGGCCCACTCAGCCCAGCAACAGAAGGGGCCCTGAGAGCAGAGAGCACCCCATCGAACAGAGGCCCCGGGTGATCCCCAGCAGCATCGTCCCTTCACCGCTGAGCCGGCCGCTGTTTGTGAGGGGTGCTCACTGTGAGCAGGGCTCTCCCTGGTTCCTCTCTGCTGCAACTAGCAAGAGGGACCACCTACAACTACTTGGTGTTTTTTATTTTTGATTCTTGGGTTCCAATCTCTAGTTTCCACTCCTTTTGCCTAAAATTCAGTGCAACTCATCTCAACAAACACCAAAGGAAAAGAAAAAAAAAAAAATCAAAACATTCATTGCTCATTCCTTTATCGAAAGACATCTGACTAAACAGGCTCTGGGCGAGGAACCAACAGCTCAGCGTTACACAGTTTTACATCACTAAGTAAACAGGTTTATAAAGTAAAGAGACACCAGTGGTGCCCAACCCAACAGCCCTCCTTGAAATAAGCCAGTGGTGAGGGTCCTGTGGGAGGAGCTTTCCTCCCAAAGCTATCACCCAAGTTTCCAAGTGCACACCGCTTCAGGCCTACTGTTGGAACAAACAAGAAGGAAATTAGTCCATCGGCTTTCCAGTGCTGGAGGGAATGGCTGAAGGTCTGAATTCTGGCCCTCTCAGCAAGCACTTCACAAAGCTGCTTCTTACTTTTTTAAATGTGCAAATAAACTCCTCTCCAGAATTGAGGACTCATCCCTTTCTCTAGAAGAAGCCTCTTCAGGTACAGGGGCTACCTGGGTGAGGTGTATGTCTAGACCTGAAGGTTTGACAAAGGCAAAGGAAGTTTTTAGACCAAAGCTGATATGACTTTGTATCCCTAGAGTTATTTGGGACCAGAACCTGGATAAGGAATGGAAACACCCTGCAGGAACATAGAATGGCTTGTGGACTCTAGACTCAGACTGAGTTTTCATTACTTATTAACAATGTGGCTGTGGCCAAATCACTTAGGTGCTCTGTGCCTGGGTTTCCTCATTTCTGTAAAATGGAAATAATAATACCAAAACCAAACCCAACCCATTGTTGTTGAGTCGATTATAACTCATAGCGACCCTATAGTACCAACTTCACAGGGTTGTTATGAGGATTAGGTAAATTAATACAGTGAAACCTGTGAGAGCCGGAACACAACAGGACTGCCTTGTTTTTCTGGGTCTCGCCAGTTTTCCGCCTTTGACAGGGTGCAGCTTACCACTTTTCTATTGCTCTCTATTAGTGGCAAATATTTGAGTTTGCCTTCTCTGACAGGTTTCTGCCTTGCACAGGTCCCAGCTTTTGCAGGTTTTACTGTATATGTTAACAGTGCTTAAAACGGTATCTGACACTTGAGCACTAAATAACTATTAGCAATTACTATTATTCCCATTAGTAATTAAGAACTTACTCTTGCGATTTCCAGATAATATGAAAAGAGGAAGGAAATATTTGATTCAAAGCCTGAGTGGACATTTTGCTGAGGACTGTGGGGTACAGCCCCTGTGGTTTAGGGAGATCAGCCAGATCTCCTAAACCAGTCTCCTCAGCCTCTTAGCTGACCCAGGGCAAGTCACTAGACAAAAATCTGAGGTCCCTCACACCAAGGCACATCGTCTGTAGTGGCAGTTCTACTTTGTCCTATAGGGTCACTGTGAGTCAGAATCAACTTGATGGCAAACGACAACAGGGGCCCTGGTGGCACAAACAGATAAGCACTCGGCTGCTAATTGAAAAGTTGGTGGTTCGAACCCACTCAGCAGCTCTGCCGGAGAAAGACCTAGTGATCTGCTCCTATAAAGATTTCAGCCTAGAAAACCCTATGGAGCACTTCTGTGCTGTCACATGTGGTGACTTTGTGTCGAAAATTGACTCATGGCTCCTAACAACAACAACACACAGAATCCTAGTGTCATTACTTGTCAAATTCAGACTCTAACGTCTGCCCTGCCTGCTTCTCGAGGTTGTTGGGAAGTTCAACCAAAAAAAACCCAAACCGGTTGCCAGCGAGTCGATTCCAACTCAGAGCGACCCTGTAGGACAGAGTAGAACTGCCCCATAGGGTTTCCAAGGCTGTAATCTTTATGGAGGTAGAATTGCCACATCTTTCTCTCGCAGAGCCGCTGGTGGGTGCAAACCACCGACCTTTCAGTTAGCAGTTGAGCACTTAACCACTGCACCACCAGGGCTCCTGGAATACACTTAGAAACCAGTGAAATCCAAAGTAATCTCTCTTTGAACCCAATCTCCTGGAGTCTGCCCTCTCACCAAGTAAAAGGAATCACGTGATTAACAACTGTGGCTGCCTTAACCACTCTGCAGCCAAACGTTGTCCTGGGGAGTAATCTGGCTCTGTCACCAGCTCTCAAAAGGGCCTTGCCCCACATTCCCTGCACTTTCCTGATAAGCACACCATGCACGACTGACAAGAACAAACCACCTCCTTCTCCATGCTCAGGCTGTGCCCAGCCCTGCCTCCACAGGACTGAGCTCCTCGTCCTGGGTCTGGCCTAGCCTTGTCCTGAGATGAAGGAAAGAGACTGCGACCTTGCACTTTGGCCAAGCCCACATTTCCTTCGTTCCCCTGACTCCTCCCCAAAGGCCATCCCAGGGCTCTGACAGGACCCCATTGTGTGAATGCGATGGGACGGCGGGCTGCCAGTTCAGGAAAGGAGGTGCCGCCTCAGGGAGGCCCAAGTCCTTGTCAGCAGCTCAGCAAAACTGCCGGCATCATCACATTCCTGCTTGGGCCTCAAAGTGCAAAACATCCACAAGAGCCTCAGGAAGAAGAAGATCCAAGAAAGGCAAGCAACTCTTTGCACAGTGGAAGGAGCCTTCCCATGGAGCCTGTCATCATCCTAGACTCACTGGACCGCACAGCAGAAGGCACCTCAAGGAGTCATCTGGTCCAGGAAGCTCCTGATAGCTATCCCTGTTGGTGCTGGTGCTGTCGAGTCGATTTTGATTCATAGTGACCCTATAAGACAAAGTAGAACTGCCCTATAGGGTTTTCTAGCCTGTAATTTTTATAGCGGCAGATTGCTAGTTCTTTCTCCCATGGAGCCGCTGGATGGACTCAAACCACCAACCTTTCAGTTAGCAGCCGAGTGCTTAACCGTTTGCACCACTAAAACAAACCAACCAAAAAAAACCAAACCCATTGCCGTCAAGTCGAATCTGACTCATAGCTTCCCTATAGAACAGAGTAGAACTGCTCCATAGGGTTTCCAAGGAGTGGCTAGTGGATTCAAATCACTGACCTTTTGGTTAGCAGCCAAGCTCTTAACCACTGTGCCACGAGGGCTCCGTTTGCACCACTAGGGGTCCTTAATCCTGTCCCTAAAGGATTCTAAAGGAGTTGTGTTTTCCATGTAGCCTCTGTGGAGTACAACTGATCACTAGTTTAGTCAGGAAATCCCCCCTTTCTCTCCTACACCTCTTCCCTGCAGTCCAAGTCAAGCCCCTTGTCAGTCTTTGCTGTGCATGGAGAATAGGTCAACAGCGGCTCCCAGCCTTTCATCCCTGCGGCTGCTTCACCCATTTGGCTCCTACTTTTTGAGTGAGGCCAAAGTCTTACATTCAGCCTCTTTGGTCCACTCATTTGGTCTGGATTCCTAAAGCAGCACTGAAGTTCTAACTTCCGTTCCCAGCTAGAGGCACTGCAAAGTCATGTCACGGTCAGGAGAGGGAAGGGTTAGGGATGGCTTGAGGATGCTACGCCCTGCTTCTGGAAAACAGTCCCAGCACAGCTGGGCTCCACAGGGGCTGAGCAGGGACATCCCCAAAGGCCAGGAGAACAGTGTCAGAGTAACTCATCTTTTAGGACTAAGATTCTAAAAACTGAAGCAACAAAACAAATATGTCCGCCCCCAATCTGAGGTGTCCTTGTAGGGAGAGAGCAGTCAAATGGGGACGGAAGGAAGCAAAGGGCCTCACATTTCAGAAGTTGCGTATTCAGGAGCCCGCATCCTCATGCCTTCCTTCAGGCGGCTGCAGAAATCCTCGTCCATTTGCACTCCTGGGTATGGAGACCCACCTAGAGGAGACAAGGTGTGACAGGGAGGGCAGATCGTGTCCTCAGGGCACAAAAAGACCACACGGGGCAATTGAGTGCTCCTTTCCTCTCTGCTCAAGGGATGCTTTGATCAGAAACTCCCAGTGACTGGACAGCCACAGAGAACCTCAGCCAACCCTTGCTAGGACACACTTGGTTGTCTCAGTGGTGTTGGGTATGATGCCACAGCCTAGTCCTATCGGCTATCCCTATCTGTGCAGTCAGGAGCCGGCGTGTCCTCTGAAGGGTCCCTTCCTTCTCCCCACAAAGGAACTCTAGAGAAATCCCACCATTAGAGACTCATTCCTTGGGTTAATGAGCTTCTTTCTGAAAAGCCAACAGACTTAGCAGAGGTTATTTGTGGATCATTCACATCTCAGTGAGAACGATGGTAGGTAGCCACTTTCTTGCAAACTTCTCACATCACTAGAGGACCAGAAGTTACGAAGAGTCTGAGGGAAAAGAGGGCCCTTGGGCTCCAAGATTAGGCCAATGGTGTAGGGTTGGGAGCTACCTGCGGCAGGAAGCCACAGATCTGAGGGTGCTGGAGGGGCCTGGCCTTTGCCTCTGACAACCTTTCCTTTTAGGGGGATTCTTGACTGGGGAGAGGATGGGATACCCCAGTGGCGACTGGGCCTGGGCAAGGCCTCCCCATCTGCTCTGCTCTAGACCTCACGTCCAGTCTACATCAGCGATTGTTTGTCTGCACTTTGCTGTGATCACTGCTGGTAGGAAGCAGCTGGGAGGTGAGCGGTGCTGGCACCGTGTCACTGCGGGGCCACTGTGGCCGCCAAGCTGCTTTCAAAGACTGGAAGCAACAGGTGCCTGTCATCGAAAGCAGGGGAATGATTTTCACACATTACAGGAAGCTAGAGATGTTACTGGGTGACTTTTACTTGCTGTGAAAGGCAAATTTTTGGCAAAGGCCAACAGACTCTTGGCTGGAACACGAGTTGGGAGGCCTGGGAGCATTGATGTGCGTCTGCATACAGATGCGGGCTCTGTGCACATCTGTGCGCGTGGGGCCTTGGACGAGGCTTCTAGCCGTCCGTAGTGCATGTTACTGGAAAGGAATAAATACAACCAGTGTTTTGTGTTGCTCATCCTGCATAAGCCAGTGTCCTGGGCTTGCAGTGAGAAGAGAATCGCTAATATCGGAGCACTGGAAAGGCCTCCTGCTTCCTGAACCTTCCCTACTGGTTCAGCTGCACTGTCAGGGCCTTTCCTGAGAAGAAAATCTGAGGGGCAAGGAGATGCAGGAGGGCAAGAGGGAAGGGCGCTGGAAATCTGGCGGCTTGAGGAATTAGAAGAGGGCAAAGGATGCAGAGAGGAGCACCAGGCTGGCTGGTCCGACTCTGCTCATGTTCATATAAGCCATCTTTACAGTACAGGGCACACACAGACATTCTTCTTCATCTGAGAGTCTTATGTGGGCCCACACCTCCTTCAGGGTGTTCAGTTGTTCTAAGTGCTGCCCCAGAGGATACTGGGCGGAAGATGCAGATGTCTGGTTCCTGGCTATTGAGTCTCTTCGTTTCCCCTCACTTACCTAAAGAGAAGATTTCCCACAGCAGTACTCCGTAAGACCACACATCGCTCTTGGTGCTGTAGATTTTGTCAAAGATAGATTCTGGAGCCATCCATTTCAGAGGAAGCCGAGTCTAGGAAAGGGAAGGGGACCTTGAGCAGCAGGGCATGGAAACAAAGCACATTGAACCCAAGTGTCCGGGGGTCGCTTCTCAGCTAAGGCCGGGCCCATAAATCATTTCCAGAGCAGCTCCGGTTTCCGAACACAGAGAAAACGCGCAGCACGCAGCATCATGCTACAAGAGGTAGCTATACGCTCCACCGATCCCTAGGAAGGTGATGTGTGGTTAGTCAGCAAGCACCTCTTGTGTCCAGCAGATCCTAACTCTCTGAGTCTGTCAGAAATCCTTCTCCCAACAAAAGCTTGCGCTCCACAAGGACACTTTCAAAACCAAAACCAAACCCATTGCCCCTGCTTCCGACTCACAGTGACCCTTTCGGACAGAGTAGAACTGCCCCACAGAGCAGCTGGTGGGTTCCAACTGCCGACCTCTGGTTAGCAGCTGAGACTTTAACCACGGTGCTACCAGGGCTCCTTCTACAGGGCCGCTTAGAGCCTGGAAAAGAGTGATCTGAATTAGAAAACATCCTGAAAATCAGTGATTTCCACGAGTTTTTCTTAAGCAGGAGGAATTTTGAAGGGCACACCTAGGCAGAAAGATAGGACTTGAACAGTCAGTGAGTGGGGAAGTGGCAAAGGCACTGGGAAGGGGGACGGTGACTGAGAGGCACTATTTAGGAGAATGGATGGCTGATTTCCAAGTGTGCAGACAAATCTTCCTTTACTTCCAGAAAGCAGAAATCCAGTGAGTAAGGTCTTGCCGCGTTAGATGGATGGGAACTGACAGGGAAGGTGGGATGATGGAGAGACAACGAGAAAACCAGAGGGGAGAGGCTGAAAAGAAAAAGGACAGACACGGGGTGGATGTCATCATTGCAGACCAGGGTTCCCAAGGAAAGTTGTTGTTGTTTTCCCTTTTAGAAAAAACACTGTGCAGCAGCAGTTCTCAAAGTATTATCTTGGGACCAGCTGCCCCAGCATCACCTAGAAACTTCTCAGAAATGCAAGTTCTCAGGTACCACCCAAGACGTACTGTGGCAGAAGCTCTGGGGCTGGGGTCCAGGTGATCCCGACATACTCCTGTAATCTGCGGGGCGCAGACATAAGCTTAAGGCCTCAGGGTACAGGCCGGATAAGAAAGGGCACAAGAGGTCACCCACAAAAGTGAAAATTAACACTATGTCCAAAAACAAGGGGGGAAGAGAAGCCAGTGTGAGCCAGCAGGACACGCCAGGCATGGAAGGCAGACGTGGGAAGTAAACAACTTCCTCCCCCGTGAGATCCCCACCCTTTCCTGAGACATATACACCTGCTGAATCAATCATCTGGGTTTATTCAAGGGGAAGAGTCCAGGCTGTTCCCTCCGGAAGTTCAGGGAACTCCCCCAGGAGCCAAGTGGAGGTCAATGATATGGCCTCCTGGGGTCCCAATGAACACCTCTCAGGGGAGCAAGTCTTCAGGCAGCGCAGTCCAAGCACAGGTACCCCCCAGGAATTATGGAGGAACAGAACCAGGAAACCATGGCCTCTTTCTGCACGCCACACGGGGCTGTCGGGTGCACGGCCCATCAGGACTGCTTGTCTTAACAGAAAGCACATGATGGTCTTTAGGGCCTACTGCCGAGGAAGTGTAAATATTTACCAAGGGCCTCAGCCTGTGGTTTAAAAATGAGAGGGTATAAATGAGGCAAGTAAACATCAAACTACTTACATCTCCTTTTCTCACATAATCGGGGTTCTTATAAATATCCCGGGCAAGGCCAAAGTCGCAAATCTTCACTACATTGTTCTCAGATAAAAGAATGTTGCGCGCTGCCAGGTCCCGATGAATGCACTGTAATAAAACAGTTGCATAATCAATGTGCTTCCTTAATCCAGCCAACTAATTTCCTGTGCCTTCTCAGTGCCATTATTCTTAATTCCAGGATCCATTTCACATGGTGTGAAGAAAGCTACCATATGTGTACTCAGAGCCACCCTAAAGGTGAAACGCTTCTTTACAAACAGACGGCTCTTGAGGCCCCAAGGTGCCCCAAATCTGGTAGAGGCTACCGTTCTGAGGTCCAGCCTCCTTAGCCACCAAGTTGGCAAGCTGGGGTTTCTGAGGGAGCACAACCTCCTGCAGCCTTTCCAGTAAGCCGTGGGATCAGAACTCTATCCGGCTGCAATTTCATGGGAGGGCTGCAAGTGGATGTATTAATAGAAGCTCTCCCGTGAAGTCCCATGTTCTGAGAGTCTGGCCAATTTGGAGCATATGCCAGAGGGGGCAATGTGAAGAAAGGCTGCCAGATTTGTCCGGTGGTCCTAAGCCCAGTGAGGTTTGCCCCTAGCATGCAGTTCTAGCCACTGGTACCCAAGACTCATCATTCTGGAAACTCCTAGTATCAGGGCTGCTTTGGCAATCTGACAGAATTAAGGCATTTGTTGTGACGTCTGCTCCACATTTAAGAACACGGCTAGAAGCAAATATCAGGAGAAGTGGATTCATAGCAAAGGTGTGTTTTTGTCCATGTGAATAGCCATGTGCCCAGGCCTGGCAAAGAAAAAACACAGAAAAGAGCAAGGCTGACCTTTCTGGAAGACAAAAACTCCATGCCTCTGGCCACTTGAAAACTGTAAGAAATCAGATCTTCCATAGTGATGGGCTGCTTGTAGAAACCGTCAGAATCTGGAAAGCATTAAAACTGTAACTGTTTTGCAATGGCTCTTGCTATTCCACCAAACCCCAGTTTATTGGAACAATGTTAACAAAACATAGAACAAACCAACAAATAGATCAGAGTTCATGTGCAAGAGCGTTCGGGTTTCAATACGAACACCGGAGATTTTTCCAGGCCTCCAGCTCATTCTACCCAAATATAGGGGATGGGGTGGGGGGATAATCCGTTAAGACAAAAAGGCCTGAGGGGAGACAATTGTACAGTCCCCTGTCAAAATTAGTAACTCTTTAAATAATCTTAATTCAAATCTTATCTCCCCAGGACATTACCCGGCAAGTCTCCCACGGATGTTTATTAGGGTGATAAATAAGAAAAAAATGTCAGAGATGCACAGTGTGTGGTAAAAATATCTCCGACTGTAGGACAGGAAGGAACGAATACCTACCCTCCTCTTCCTCAACATCACTCAGGCTTTTATCTTCCTGAAACCCAGAGCTGGCGAAGCTCTCGCTGCTGGTGACACTATCTAGTCTTGGTTTCTTGTCTTGTTCCAGGTCTGGCTCCACTTTTTCGTTCTTAGTCTCCACATGTAATGCTGCATCCTTTAAACAGACCAAGAAGGATGCAGGTAAAGGGCGCTCCAGGACAGCAGTGGGGAAACTGACCCCTCAAGCTGGCGATGCCTGAGTCGGGAGAGCGTCATTCCACAAAATGGATCATGGGTTAGCAGACACCTGGCTACTCCTAGGGTTGTGGGGTGTATTCCGCTCTTGACTGGGCTTCTCGACAATGACTTAGGTAGGTGAAAGAAGTATTAACAGCAGCTGGTATTTACTGAGAGCTGACTCTGTGTGAGCCAGTATATGAAGAACCCCAGGTACATTTTTCTCACTTAATCTTTCCAACAACTGTGTGAAGTAGTTGTTGTTTATACGTGAAGAGAAGTCAAGTAGTCAAGGTGACACACATCTAGTAAATGGCCAAGCTTGAACCTCCAAAGTCTGCACCCTTAACCACTTTTCCACACCACACGCCATTTTGTGAAGGACAGCATGAATGTTAGCAAAGGATAGATAGCACGAATCTTGCAAATTTGCACTGCTTTCAGCCCCAGGGTGCCACTTTCCACTTTTTCTTATGTTTTTTTCACCTTATCCAATGTGGTGCGTAGAAAAATGGAACACTCTGTGGGACTGAGTTACTGGGTTTGAAGGCTGAGGACCATAGCTTTAGGGGACATCTAGGTCAACTGGCATAATATAGTTCATAAAGATAATGTTCTACATCCTAGTTTGTTGAAATAGCATCTGGGGTCTTAAAAGCTTGTGAGTGACCATCTAAGATACAGCTATCTGGAGCAAAGGAGTAAAAGAAACTAAAGACTCAGGGAAACAATTAGTCCACAGGACTAATGGCCTACACAAACCACCGCTTCCTCTAGCCTGAGACCAGGAGAACTAGATGGTGCCCGGCTACCACTACTGATCACACTGACCAGCGACACAGCAGAAGGTCTTGGTTCGAATGGGATAAAAATGTAGAACAAAACTCAAATTCATAAAAAAGGCCAGACTTACTGGACTGATAGAGACTAAAGAAACCCTGGAGACTATTGCCCTAAGACACCCTTTTAATTGAACTGAAGCCACTCCTGGAGGTCACCTTTCACCCAAATAATAGATTGGCTTATAAAATAAGCAATAACACCCATGAGGAATGTGCTCCTTAGAACAATCAACCAAACAGGCAACATTTGCCCAAAAGCAAAGATGAGAAGGCAAGGAGAGGCAGGGAAACCAGGCAGATGGAAATGGAGAAGGCAGGGGGTAAATAGGGAGAGTGCTGAAACATTGCGGGGATAGCAACCAATGTCACGGAACACTTTGTGTATGAATTGCTGAATGGGAAGCTCATTTGTTGTGTAAACTTTCCCCTAAAACACAATAAAATGTTCAAAAAGAAAAAGTATTGGATGGGGAGTTGGCAAAATGTTAGCAAAGGGATTCCCAGTGCGGTTGGGCTTCACTTCGTAATCACTATGCGGAATAATAAGAGAAAGCTGTAGGTTACCAATTTCTCTGGTTTCCTTGGGGAAGGAGTGAATGTGAACATTTCTTTTTCTACCTCCCATTTAAAACACAGATCTACCACCACCGACTGTTCTGACAGGGATCACAATAGAGGGTCCCAGACAGAGCTGGAGAAAAACGTAGAACAAAATTCTAACCCACAAAATTCTAACCCACAAAAAAAGACCAGACTTACTGGTCTGACAGAGACTGGAGAAACCCCAAGAGTATGACCCCCGGACACCCTTTTAGCTCAGTACTGAAGTCACTTTTGAGGTTCACCCTTCACCCTAGACAGGCCCATAAAACAAGCAATAATACAGGTAGCTTAACCATATATACGAGACTAAATGGGCACACCAGCCCAGGGCCAAGGACGAGAAGGCAGAGGGAGCAGGAAAGCTGGATGAATGGAAATGGGGAACCTAGGGTCAAGAAGGGGAGAGTGTTGACATGTTATGGGGTTGGCAATCAATGTCACAAAACAATATGCATATTAATTGTTTAATGAGAAACTAATTTGCTCTGTAAACCTTCATCTAAAGCACAGTAAAGAATAATAATAAATTAAAACAAAACAAAACAAACAACAACAAAAAACACAGATCCAGTTTCATTCTAACCAGGGTAGAAAAGGCCTTTCACCCTGGACTGGGCAGCCAAGTCCTGGTATATAATCTGGTTCTTCCACTAACCATGCGATCTTGGGCAAGTCAGCTTACTTTTCTGGATTTCATTTTCCTCACCTAAGAAGTTCTATCTTTAGTAATTCATCTAATAACTATGACACTACTTAGTACTTCTAAGTGGTTTCATGATTGAACCATGTGCCTAGCTTTGATTCTGCTACATGGCAATACAGAAACAACGGCTGAGGGGTAGTGGAGTTCAGCGGTGTTACGACTGAATTGTGTCGCCCAAAAATATGTGTTGTAAATCCTAACCTCTATGCCTGTGGTTATAAACCCATTTGGGAATGTGTTTTGTTATGTTAATGAGGCAGGATGAGTGTTGGGTGTGTCTTGAATCAATCTCTTACAAGATATAAAAGGGGCAGATTGAGCAAACCAAGATGGAGAAGGCAGATGCCAAGCCACATGAAGATCTCCATGGGATCAGGAAACAGAAGCTGAAGCGACAAGGACCTTCCCCCAGAGACGACAGAGAGAGAGAGCCTTCTGCTGGAGCCAGCACCCTGAATTCGGACTTCTAGCCTCCTAAACTGTGAGGAAATAAATTTCTGTTTGTTAAAGCCACCCACTTGTGGTATTTCTGTTATAGCAGCACTAGATGACTAAGACAAGCGATGTCTCTTGGTTCACCTGTAGGGTGTGGCCATGTGAGGATTAACCAGGTTCCCCATCTTTCCTTGGCATTTCCTAGAAATGCCAGGAAGCAGCAGTGATCCTTCCACTAGAGGGCGCAGTGGGAGCAAGCAGAGGACAGAGGGAGGGAGCTTCAGGAGGGACATCCCGACACACTGAGCATATGGAGGGTGTGAGGTTCCTGCTCCTTGAATAGAGACCTTCCTGGGCAGCAGGACTCTGAGCAAACGCCACCACCACCCCAGGTGATGCACCTGAGAGGAGGTAAAGAAGAGAACTACTGGTTATTGGGTCTCCCTGAGGCAGTTAGATTTCATACTGCTCAGTTGGGGGTTGGAACTGTACTTTTCACAAGAACTTCCTGGGACAGAAGGCAGCAGGGAAAGAGAGCTGGCAAGAGGGTGAGGCAGGAAAGTTTCCAGCTCCGTGAAAGCTCCTCTCTTCTCATGCCTCCCAGAAGTCACAGCCTGGGGCATATCTCCAAGGAGCAAAACTCAGGTTCCGTCACCCCCTTCCTGCCCCCTAATTGATGCCCTGGCTTTGCTTATCAGTAACCATCTCTGTTACATAAAAGTTAATTTACTGAACTTTCAGGACTCTGGCAGAATACAGTGAATTTATTAAAAATAATATTTAAGGATTCTGGTGAATTTATTTAGAAAATAAAACCTCCCATTTCTACTTAGCCTTTTAGTTTTGTGTGTCCTTCACCTTCTCTCTGAAATACAGCCGTGGGTTCTCCACGAAAACACTAAGCTCCACCAAGCTGCACAGGGAGGTGAATCATTAAATATAGCCAGAGAAGGAAGCACAGTCTTCAAAACAAAGGACGCATGAGCCCAAATGTTCCATCCTGCCCAGGTCCCTGGGGTGTTCTGCTGGCTTAGTTCTTTCTGAAGCCAGTCCAGGATTTCAGAGCTGGAGGGAATTTGCACTGACCTCAGCCCCAGGGTGCCACTTGACACTTTTTCTTAATTTTTTTCACCTTTTCCAGTGCGGTGCATAGAAAAAGCACTGGATGGGAAGTTGATCGAGCTGAGTTCTTTCTCTCTCTGATTTTACCTCTTGGTATGTGTGTGTCTTTAAGCCAGTCACTTGACTTCTCTGGGCACATCTATCAAATGAGAGTGTGAACTAGCTGATCACAAAGATCCCTTTCAGCTTCAAGATTCCAATTATTAGAGGGCGTGGTTTAAAATTGGGGAGAATACGTTCCTGCTTACATGTTGCCAGTCTCATCAAATATCTGTGTCTTTGGCTAGATCACAGGTTGAGACATGAGAGAAAAGGTCAGATGTTCAGTGGTCCTTATTTGTGTGCCACATAAAGACTGTTGTTCACGTAGCAGAGTTGGCCATCATTCTTGGATGTTAGATGCTTTATCCATCATATACAACCTTTCTATCTCTGTGGGTCAATAATGATGATAATGGTGGTTAACATTTATTGAGTGCTTAACTGAGAACATTTGGTTCTCCCAACCATCCAAAGAGGTGGGCCTATTATGAGTTCCATTTGATCAATGAGGAAACGGAAGCTTAGAGAGGTGGAGTAATTTGCTCAGGGTCCTAGATTTCAGGAGTAGTACAGACAGGATTTGGAGCCCTAGTGGTGTAGTGGTTAAGCGTTTGGCTGCTAAACAAAAGGTCAGCAGTTCGAATCCACCAGTCACTCCTTGGAACCCCCCACTATGAGGCAGTTCTACTCTGTCCTACGGGGTTGCTATGAGTCAGAATCAACTCTACAGCAAAGGGTTTGGGTTTTTGTTTTTTTTTTTCTTTTGGTTAGAGACAGGATTTAAAACCAGGAAGTCTGATTCTGGAGTCTGAGAGTTTAAACATTACACTACATGGCCTCATCACCAACACTACTGAGTACCAGTTAATAATGTTGAACTGGTGTCTCCTGGTCTTCTCCAGATCAGAGAAGAACACAGCATTGGTGCCATAGGTTGCCCTGGCAAAATTTTATGAAATTCTTTCTCCTCCATTCAATGATCTAAGTCTTATGTGCCTTCAGATCTTGGACCCATGAGTTCCTTTTATTACACAGCTTTGTTTTAGTGGATAAAGCTCGTTCAAAAGTGCGTACAGGAGTGAGATAGGAGGTGGGGGTGTGCGGAAGTGAGAGAAAGGGCAGTAGGAAGGAAAGAAAATCATTTCTAACTCTGGCCCCATCACTGGCCTATTGCTGTGTGCACAAGTCACTCAGCTGATTGAGTCTTAATTTCTCTAACCTAATAAACGGAGACAATTATATATGTTATCACCTCCCTTCAAGAAACAAGGAATTGTACGTATGTATATATATGTGCACGTACATATGTACATGTGAACATATACATACATGTATATATGTGTGTATACACACACATACATGTATATATGTGTGTATACACACACACACAGAATGATACAGAGGGAGGCAAGGAGAAATAAAATTATCGAGATGATTCGATAGGTGTTGAGATCGATGGCTAATAAATTTTAACACCCCAACTGTCACTGCATACACTGGGAACAAATGATTCTTTGTGCTATCCACAAAAGAGTGTATCAGATTCGCATGGAAAGAAAAAGCAGATACTGAGTTTTAAGCCTATTCATTAATGGAAAAATGTGGGTTTCTCTTGCTGTATTCTGCAACAGCCTAAAGGGAGACTCATTGGTGTCCTTAAAATACTCCAACCCTTGAAAGTACTTACCTTGTTTTGAAAGAACAAGTCCCGTTTGCTCTTGAGGTAGTTGGATAGATTTCCATACTTGCAGTATTCAACGATCACCATCAGAGGCCCTGTAGCCAAAACAGCACGTGCTCAGCCATACCAAGCCCGTCAGCCATTTGCCAGCCTGAGAAAGCTCAAGCCAACTGTCTTTATGAAACATTGGAGGGCCCAGGAATGCAACTTAGGGATGAGAGGCTCATGAATAGGGTGGCTTTCTCAACTTAAACTTGAGAAGGGATTTAAAAAATACGAAAGAAGTAGGAGACAACGTGTAGGGGGAAGGGCGGGGAGCAGAAGGAAGAACAGCAGTAGGAAAAGGAGAAAAAGAACTTTTAGGAGGGGAGGGGCAAAAGCTGAGCCTTGTTACTGTAACTACTAGCAACCCACCCTCTCTGCCTCTTAGCCAGACCCCTGGTGCAGAGGGGCCTCTGGTCATTGTCACACCAGCCCCGGGACTGTCAAGCAGCTCCTCCCGCCTGCCCAGTGCAGAGAACAGGTTGGTCCTGTCTGGCCTCCCCTCTCTCTCCCCAGGAGCCTGGCTGCCTTCGGGGGTCTGCCCAGAGCAGCTGGTGCGAGAAGGTCTAAAGCAGGGGCCCTGCATACTTAGTCTGTAAAGGACCAGATGGTACATATTTTAGGCTTTGCAGGCCATACGACTGACCACTCAATTCTGCCTTTGCAGTGTGAAAGCTGCCATAGGCTATGTGGCCAAATGAGACGACTGGGTTCTGATAAAACTTTATGGAGAAAGGCATTTGAATTTCCTATAATTCTCACGTGTCACAAAATATTATTC